GCACTGTAAAATCCATTAGTATTGCAAGAAACAGAACTAGATGGAGTCAAAAGTAATTTCTTAATTTAATGTATAGATTTATCGTCAACAGAGCAGAGCAAAATAATGTCCTAAAAAGAGGAAGCTAAAGGACATTTTAAAATGCCTACATTATTTGCTACCTTTGAGTGAGCATCCAAATGATTGGGCTTTGTTATGAAAAAAAGTCAATGGGAAATTAATTTCCAAGTCATGTGCATGAATATTGATGAAAAACATAAATTCAATTCAATACAGACGATTATTACTGCTGCAGTTGGGGCCATTGGGAGCTGAGACACTGTCACTTTAGGTAGCTGGTAATGAGTAAACAACTGAATGTGAAGTGTGTGTGTGTGAGTAAAGGCTGCAGTCCATGTTTGTGATGGCCAAGCAGGCTGTGCCCCAGTGCCTACCTAAAATGATCCCCATTTGAGGTGTAGATGAGAAGCAGCCACGGGCTGGTAGACTAACCTATTGCTGTTGCTGGCGGTTTGGGGCTTCCCAGATGTGAAGGTGCACATTCCTTCAGCTTCAGGATAGCATTAGTCAGGGGTGTCTCTGGACACATATACGTGCGTGCTCTGTGAGGTTTGTTGCCAGAATACAGAAAGAGAGAGTGAATGGCCACGTGCAGGTTGGTGAATAGATGTGTTTGAGAGCTGCGTGGCACGCTGGTGACCTGGTACGGGCTGTCAGTCAGCACCTCGCTGGGGTTTCCATCGGGGAGAACATAAGAGACGTCAGATTTTCCTGGGCATGTATCGAAATGGCACTGAAGGGTTTCCCTCATTGAGACACCTCTGTAAGACCTCCTGAGTAAGTTGGGAGTATACGTGCTCAGGCATGCTCAACAGTGAGAGAAGCTGCAGACTGGAGGCTCATCTTAAAAGCTGCTATTTTTTGACCTCTGTTAGAGGCAGGGGAATTAGTATTTTTTATTAACCAGGATAGGTTCTGCTTCAGGGACTGCTTTTAACATCCAATCTTTATTTTCTTGTACTCATTGGTTTCTGGGGCTATATAAAATAGTGTTTCTAACAATAGTGCTTTGAAGCAAGTTTATGAAATACAGATTATGGTGGTTTTGCATGGCATGAGAAAGAAATGCACTTTATTGTGCTTATGTTTATGCCTATCTGTGTCTGAAGCATCCCTGAAAATATGTATTATTTTGGCACTTAATTTTAAAGAGCTGCTTGTTGCCCTTCCAAGAGATGAGGGGTATGTTTGTGCTCTGTATCAAGTTCAGGGGCAAGAGGGACTGGGGATCCTGTGCAAATCCTGCTCACCTCCCAGCTCACATGCGGGGTTACTTTAGTCCTTCTTAACAATTGGGCAGATCAGACCTAGAATGATTATTTTTGCCCTGGAGCAGCTGGGAATTGCCTCCTGTGGCTCAAAGTGGGAGGATAAAATTTGCTGTTCACAGCCTGCTTTTTGACTGTGTCCTTCCCACGTTTGGTTCCTGGCACGTGTGGGCAAGCAGGAGCACCTTTGTAATTGTACATGGCAGCAGCATTTCTCCCTCATGGCGGGAATGGCTTTTTACACTATTAGTCTGTATTTTGCCTTAAAAAAAAATGCCAGCAGCATATCTAATCTCTCTACTTTAAAGGATTCTATGTGAAGGATGGAGGTATTGCCCCAGCTCTATCCTCCTTCAAGTAATGATTGATTTAATCTGCTTTTCTTAATTACTTTCATAGTTTTTCTCTTCTGTATTTTGAATCTGGCATAATTATTGGGTGCATCAAAAGTGTATGTTCAAATTCCATGCTGTAAACTGGGATATAGAGAGATTAATGTCTTACTGTAACAGTAGATTATTAATGATCCATGATTACACCCACATTTGCTTTGGGACTTCAACTCATTCTGCAGGTTGGGTCTCTCTCCCACTCCAAGTACTGTTTCTGCATGGGCTGCACTGCTTGTTGGGTACTGATAGCAAAAAATCTGCACTGCTGCACCCTCTGATTGATGTAGGATGCTCTTGTGTTCAGTGTATGACTTGATCTGAGGCAATCTATAACCATTTGCTTTTATTTCTGTTGAGAGGAGATGACCTGACAGAGCTGCAAAAGCGAAGTCAGACCATGCAGTAGTTGGAAGAACTGATGCTGGGCAATGACTTTCCCTGATTTCCCAAACTTTGTGACGGAGCAGGCTGGGGGGGAACTGCTTTGCTCTGGCCTTTTGCCATGTATCAGGCATGCAGCAGAGGCCCAGGTGCGAGCTGAGATGAGATGTTTTGCGTAGCAGAAGAGGGCATTTCTTCTTTTAAAACAGAAATTAAATGTTTGGATTTACTATGAGGTAAATTTAAAGCATCAACATGATTTCTTCTAAATTTGCTTTTAAGATTTTATTCATCTGAAAGAATTGATTTCCATAGCAATATCAAAAGCTGGGAGTAGTTACTGCAGTGGTTCGGTTGTACAAAATTAATTTTACTCAAAGAAAACCTGCAGCCCTGGATTATATCTAGGCTGGCGTCGCCCCTGTTGAATCCTCTTGCAAGAGCAGGCTCCAGGTGTTCTGCCTCCTTACAGCAACAAATGGCTAAATTAGCTTTTGGGAAACATTTAATGGGTGTGCAACATGAAATATCAGTGTTGCAGCATGTAGCTTTATTAGCTGAGCTGCTGGAATTGTTTTCTGAGCTATGTTGATCCTTAGCACTGATTGTGAAATGGAAGAGAAATTATTTATTAGTCCTCAGGAGCCTTAAAACAGAGTAATACTTATTCAGCTGGAAACACAGTCAATCTTGTTACAGATGTTGCTGCATTTAAGGAATAAGCAAACTAACTGATTTTGTAATTGGTAGCAAACATTTTTAGACATCTTCTGACAGGGACAGGCATGCATCTCCCTAAAGGGTGGAGATGCTTGTACGGCAGATCTTGAGGTTGTTCTGAATAAAGCTCTAAATATGTTCTAGGACAAGGCTTTGTATTGCAAAAAGAAAGATGTACTATCCCTTAGCAGGAGTAGTTAATCCTTCCAGGCGTTCCCAGTCCAGCAGAGATACGTCAGGTTCCAGTGGAATCATGTCTCTGCATCTTGGGAATCCCCAAAAATGACTATTAAAAATATTATAAATAAATTCTTATTTAGATATGTTTTACTCTAAGTGATAAGGTTTTACAAGAAAAGTTTCAAAGTGGGAATATTCATGCTTTAAAATGCTCATGCCTTGAAACAAGGTGGTAGTAAATTTTAAAACTTAGCAAGGACCTTGAAATTTTACTTTTACAGGTTATAGAAAGAAAGAAAAAAAAAGCACATCCTTTTTAGACCAAATGCATATTTGGAAAAAGCAATCGAATGTAGTGCCTGTTCATCTTAGGTCTGAAGATGAACCTGAAAATGATCTGATAAAACCTTCATCCTGTGAATGGCTGGCAATGAAACCAGCCCTTGCTATCCCTCCCTGGTGGGGAGTTAAGGTTCAGGAGGAACAGATTTTTGCTGCTGTTCTTAGGGCAGAGGGAGTTTCCCTGGGAGAAGACTTTGAGCAGTTTGTGGGTTTCTGGCTGCCTCCTGAAGCCCTACACCAAGAAGCTGCTTGAAGCTTGAAGTGCCCTGGCACAAGAGCAGATTGCTGTGCAGCAGAGAGATCCCAGCAGAAGACAGAGATGAGAATTGTTCCCATGGGGGGGGACGGGGGGGACACATGGATGTAGTAAGTAAACAGTCAATAACAGTAGTACTCAAAAACCTAATTACTTTTGATATTTATAAAAAGGACCTGCATCATTCAAAAGAGCATATTTTAGCCAATTTTACTGATTATGCCTCCAGTAATGGGGAGTTTTGTTTGTATTGATCTAATCCAGGAGTGGGAATGGCTCCAGAAATCCTATTCTGGTCTGGCTCATGTTTTGCATAATATAATGCCCATTTCAAAAGTTTGAATATATTCAGATTAATTTGCTTACAGATAACAACCACCCAAAAACTGTTGGTAAAGAAGAAAAGTAAGCACATGCAAAAAAAAAAAAAATAAGGCCCAGACCCACACTTGACCATCTAAGTAGCATTGCTGTCCTGGCAGGTTCAGAGCTGCGTGAAGAACTGTTGTAAAATGCTGCTTCTGTGTTTCTTTCCCGCATTCTTTTTTGTCATTGCTTGATGCATGGCAAGCTAATAGACTGAGCTGAACTGTTATTCTGCAGTAGCTCTGAACCACACTTTAAAATTTAGAACATAGTAGTATAATATTAAAGGGCACCTTCTGAAAACTAGCTGTATTAGGATGGTGTTTCCTAACTCATCTGACACATCTCTACTTGTACATTTAGTCTGGTGACTTGTGGAAAGACGATGTGGGTTTTGTCTTTCTCCTACCTAATTGCATAAAGCTGGGAAGACCTGGGGTCTTAAGGAAAGTGATGGGGAAAACAATGTTGGTTATAAGCCTTCTGATCAGGTTGTTCTTCGCTTGTCCAACAGACTGTTCTGAGCATCAGTTGAGTAGCGGTAATGTTGGACTACCCAGGTCAGCTTGGATGGACGGGTCTCTCAAGCCTTATGTCCTTTAGTTTGTGATTGGCATATCTCTGTTCAGTGTCCGATTCTGTCATTGGCAGAACTAGTAGGGACTTTGCTGAGACCTGGGTTTGGCCCTTTAGGTGCTGGGGTCAACTGGTTTTGCATTTTTCCAGCATTTTCAGCTTTTTTGCATTTGGTGGTAATAACCAGCACTTCATTCTGTTTGGTGAGATGTGTGGAAATTGCTGAGATGGTCATGGACCGTATTTGCTTATTTGTACTTCCCTCTCTCTACTGCTGACATTCAAATAACTTGTGCTGTTTTGCTTTTTTTTTTTTTTTGAACGGCTCAATCCTGTGAATAATTCAGGATTTTTGTAACGATTATGCATATCCCTGTATGCAAACTTTACTCCCTTCTTTGCCTCTATGCCCTTCTTCCACACTCATCCCGATTGTTTGCCCTGTGGTTTCTTGCAGTGTGTGCTGGCACAGAGAACAAGCTGAGCTCTCTCTCTGACCTGGAGCAGCAGTATCGGGCCCTGCGCAAGTACTATGAGAACTGTGAGGTAGTTATGGGCAACCTGGAAATCACCAGCATTGAGCACAACCGAGACCTCTCCTTCCTGCGGGTAAGCAATCTTTTCCTTTCCTCTGTCTTCTGTGTTTAGGAGAGTAGCTACAGGTGCAAGGCTGAGAAGGGCAGGTCTCTTTCCCACCAGCTTCACTGCAATATAAGAGGATAATAAAATGTCACAGATGTGCAGAGAAACAAGAGCAATGTCATTGCAGTGACAGGTGCTCTGAGTATGTGTCGTTTAGATTTATCCAGGACTCGAGGGAGAAAGCCATGTCACTATGCAGAAAAACGATACCTTGCAGGTCTCTATCACTGTATGTTGCCACATACCGGTATGGATCAGGTAAGGTAGGGTTTAGGAAGGTCAGAGAATTGTGCAGATAAGCACCAGAGGCTTGGAGAAACTAATTCTAGTAAAATGCTATGTATGGACTGATTGTTATCAGACTAAGCAAGGAAGAACTCTGGGCAATGTTTGTGGAGCATTTAAGAAAACAGAAAAAAAAAAAAAAAGGAGTTATGAGCCTAATTGAACCTCCAGCATCCAGGGAAAGTTTGTGATAGATCAAGGCTGTCCTGCCACCGTGGAGCCTGGGGTTGTGTGCTCCCTTCTCCCTCCTTGCATCTCGAGTGAATAGCGTGCTTTTGGGTTTGTGAAGGAACATTTCAGTGTGCTTTCTACGTTTCCTGTTAACATGCTAGAAACCACAATGAGGGGAAAGGTGAGTACCCGTCATTATTTGGCATTCTAAAACTAATTATATTTGAAGAAATATGCCAGTAAAGGAGTGATCCAGTGCATTCAGGTGGACATCTGTGGGTGCTGCAGACGATGTGACTGCAACATGGAAGAAACTAGAATGTAGCTGTGAGGAGCATAGTAGAAAAGACGGCCCGTGGCAGTGTGATTGCAGGCTGTGCTAGACATACTCTCCAACAGAAGAAGTCAAACCATGACACAGATAGGGTTTACACTGCCTGTATCATACGGCATTGCTTGCACGTATGTACGCAAAGTGCTAATGTCATGTTTCAAGATGTGTTTTTTCATAAAAAGCATGTAGCGGCAGCGGGGAAATTTAAATCTGGCAGCAGGAAGAGGGTGGCAGGAGTCAGCCCCAGCAGGTTGTGTTACACTCAGTTGCTTGGTTTGCTGGGTCTTGGGTGAACCTAGTGCTCAATTTCAGTTTGTAAAAATGTGAACTTTCCATTACAAGTTCTAACAAAGGCAAAGCAGATTCTCCAAGAGCGTGTTTAGCTTTGCTTCGTGTTAAATTTGTTGGGGATTTCACGGGATTTCCACTCTATATGTTAGCTTATATTTACTCAAAGCCTACACTAAGCTGCTAAAAGATCTGCAAGCATAATTCAGCTACCAAATATGCCTGGAGTAAAGTTTGGGGTGCTAATTGCACTCAGACTAACAGGTTGCCTGTTAATTTGACTGACAAATGCCTAGGAAGTAAATGCTATCTATACATTTCACAGTTGTGACAGGTGGGAAAAACACATATGCTTGTGCTGTGAAATATATAGCCTTGGTGCAGCTGGACTAACGTTTCCCACCGCGTGAGACAGGCGGCAGAGAGTTACCTCCTGTGTGGGCAGGATCCCCGCACCGATTCGGGCGTTGCTGGAGTTTCAAATGCCTTCTGAAACCCCCATGCATGGCTTGAATTCATCACGGACAATTCTCCTGCTTTGGCTTTCCTTCCTCCTTACGCTGCTGCTGGTAGGTAGGGAAAGCAAATTATTTGGAAATTAGGGAATTAACGTTCCTTGTGGAGAGCTGCTATAAGCAGAGTAAAATATTAGCGAAAAGTGGGCCATAAAATCAGCAAATGAGAGGAAGAAAGAAGGGCCCTGTGCAGTAAACGAAGGTGGTTCTGTGTTTTTGGTGACAGTTACTATTGCTTTTTTATTAGTTTTATTACTTCTCTTACCTGAGACTGCCCTCTCGCAGATGTCTCAGCAAAAACCAGAACTTGAAACAAAACACAGCAAACTGGAAGTCTAGTTAATATAATAAATTGTAGTCATTAAAATAGAAAACCAAACAGAGGAGAACATGTTCTTGGTGAGGCAAATAAATAAATAAATGTTGGCATATTTACGCTGATAATTCGACATTCATTCGTTAGGCAGTATTACTTGTTTGATCATTTTAAAAATGGTTTTAATGGTCTAATGAAGGTGGCAGATGGGAGATAACTAAGAGAAAGGCTATTTGTCTCAGACTTAAATATGGGGTGAACTTGTCATGCAAGATGATGCTCCTCTAGCCTGCTCCAATTTTCCTTATTCTCTGTTGCAATATTTGCCCGCTTTCTCCACCAAATGGATTTCAGGTAGGCAACTGACGTACCCGTACGTCTGGTTGATGAGTACTGTGGTTTTGCCTGCTGCCTGCCTGCCTTTTCATTAGTGCTCAGCTTAGCTGGGCAGCCTCTTACTCCAGAACAGAGGGAAGAGCTAGTGAGCTAGCCAGGCTGAGCCTTTTTATCATGCAATAATAAAACTAATACCATAAATGAATTGAAGTGAAAAACCCCCATAATTCTATTTACCCTGCAGAGGAACATTAAAAGATCAGCATCTCATCTCTCATATTTATTTAGACATTTATTCCCTAAGTAGATTTGCTTTATGTCTATGAGTTAGCTCTCTAGATATCTGCTGATTAAGACTAAAAAGGGCTGCCTATCACCTGAATGAAATGCTCAACCACTTAAACTTCCAGGCCTGCAAGTGAGTGCGTGGCTTTAGGGTCATGAGGAACTCCATTCATCTAAGAAGGGATTGCATATACTAATATTTTTTTCCTTGCATTTTCATGTGTGCAGAATGGTACCGCCAATCTGCTGGTACAGTTTTATGGATTTTATTTTTGCTTCTGTTTGTGTTACTGCTTGCCCATAGGTGGCCAAAACAAGGGTGAGCAAATGCAATGTGAAGTTGTCCTCTGTGTGTGCTACCCTCCAGCTCCATTAGCTCTGTTCCTGCTGCTCCATGCTTCCCTGCACTGTGAGTACTGGCAAAGGAAGGGAGCACTCGGTAGGAGGAAAAAACATGTGTCTAAGCCTGAGTGCTGGGAAAGGCAAGATGTTTCTGACTGTGGGCTGATAGCTGGTTTTCTTTGTTATTCTTTGGAGGCTCAAGCTTCCCACATAAAATGTACTCCAGGGTAATTCAGTCCCACCACTGCAAGCTTCAGCAATGAAATGAGGCTTAGGTTAACGTAGCGTGTTGGTGCTGGTGTAGCACATCCCTGTTGCAGCTGAGGCACACTCTCCACTTGCATAGGCTGCAGCAGGGAAAGGCACTTACGGTTTCCATGAGCATGGTTGAACTGGGCAGGACAAATAATTTGTGAACAGGCCCTGAGAGCTCCCTTGTCCCTGTTGCATGTCCAGGCTCACCCAGCAAGTCAACAGTGATGGTGGGAAGAGGTCGGGCTCCATATTCCACTGCTTCTCAACCCCTGGCATCCTTCAACCAATTACATGGGCCAGAATTTTGTGCTAGGACTTGTTCTGTGGAACTAAGCTGGTTGAGCTTGTGCATGTCCAGAGTCTCGTCAAGGCTAGAGCTAAGATTTCTTTCCCTGCTTTGGATTTCAGAAAAAATATTGAGAAAAGCTTAGATTGTGCACTAGTTCATATTGCAAACGACTGATTTCAGAAATGGGAACCTATTTTAGTTTCACTTGGCAAAGCTGACAGTTTATATTGTGGACAGTTCTTATTTCTTAATAGCATCTCTGTATTCAATTTTCAAAATAAAATACACAATTAGTATACCACAAAACAATCTTCTGCAAGCACTCTTGTTCTGTTAAACACATTTGGTAAACGAGAGTTTTCTTTGACTAATCCCCAGGCTTTTAGCAATTCACAGTCAGTAAATTGTCTTCTCGTGCTTGGATTTTATTTAACCAATTCAGATTATTTATTTTTGAAGACATGACCAAAGTTCTCTGCTTTTCCCTGCAATAATTCTCTGAAATGATAATGAAACTTATTTCTAACCACAATCAGCAGCCTTCGAAAATATTCTAACACTGCTTTATAAATTCTTTTTTCATTTACCTCTATAGTGCCTCTGTAGCACCCTCAGCCACAGTTATGCTGGCAGCTATTTGCGTGCCATTTAACAGGGTGGGCGTTTTGTGGTGGGCAGCTTTACAGCCGCTGCAGTTACTGCAAAGATGTATAGCCCCATCTTCCCTTTGTCAGTGCACAGAACTGCGTGCTCGGTGAAAACCTAAGCCAGCCTGTACTTATTACTTTCCTTACAATCACATTTATACTTTGGTGGATGGAATTTGGGGGTTTGGATTTTATATGTATTTGCTTCTGGTTGTGTTACAGTCTTGGAGGAAGACTGGGTCAGACAGATTCCTCTGAGGGGGGAGGACTACTAGAGCAGCCACGGGAAGAGTTGGTTGCAAAGCATTGCTGCCTGTCCCCATGGCATCTGGAGCTGCTTCTGGTTTAGAAAAAAAAGTAACTTTTTGAAGCTTTTATAGCAAAATGGGTCAAAACAAACCCTTCTGAAAGCTCCAGCAGCAGAGCTCAGCAGCGGTGCAGGCATGGAGAAAGCCTGCAGTCTTGAACAGCTGTGTCAGGAAGGGGAACACAGAGACAGGAGGGTATTGCCTTGTCCAGTTTGCTCGGCAGATGACTCTCATGATACGTATAGCTCCTGAAGGCCTGGCAGCACAGCCCTGCATCCTCTTCTGCTGCAAAATGTTATCTTAATTCTCAGTTGACAGGCTTCTGTAGGGTCCCAGCTCAGCAAAAAGGGAGCAGAATGTGGAGTATGAACTGTGAGGAGTCCCCCCAGAGAAAGAGGTTGCAGGGTGGCTGTGCCTATGTGGAGAGGGGATTTACCCAGGAGTCCTTGGAAAGCATTGCGATCCAGCCCTACACCAGCAAGGGGATTTGGGGAGGGTTCACTGTGCAAAGCTGCCCTGTAGCATTTGTCCTGCAGTGGGTTGCATCAGGAGAGACTTGCCAGCACGTGTTGTCCTTGGCTGGCAAGAGGCAAAGC